CGCTGCTTTTAAAAGTGTAATTGTATTTTTATGTTAGAATAACGTGAAATTCTAGTGCAAATCTTGCAGTGAATTTGTGCAAAACGATTATTGATCCAAAAATCACGTTCATGTTCTGCTTATTTTTTCGAAAGTTTAGAAAAACTATAAGTTGATTAAAATCTAATCTGTCAATAAATCCGTCTCATATTCCTTTTAAAATGCATGTCACTTACTATGAAAAAACCCGCTGTGAAATATATTTATTCGATGTTTGCTTATTTACAATGAGCTAAGTTAAAAGCTGACATATTTATGAATTTGATCTATTTATTTCTACTTATTTCCATCATATTTACAGGTCACTAAGTTGCCTAGAACAATATTTGAAACTGAATGATAGGTTTTTCCGCTTTAATACCTTGAACAATCACAGACGGAAACGTATGATAATTTAAAAAAATCCACAATGGAATCAACAGTACAAATTTCAATATGTTATTATTTTATGTTAACACGGAAGAAACTTTTGCAAAACGTGTACTTGACTTTATTCTGTTGTGTCATATTTCCCGGCATACACGGTTTTCAAGCTTAAGTATTTTAATTTGAACATTTTCTGAGATCCTATACTATAGAAAAGCTCACTTGCAATATAATCATATTTGTATAAACAATATGAACTTTATTTAAGCCAATGATTAAGATTGAAAAAAAACTGTTCAAATGACGTCAATTCATTAATGTTTAAGATGAAAATGCAATTTTTCTTCTTTCATTCTTTCAAAATAAAAATAAAAAGATAACACATATTTGAGCAGAACTTGCCATGAAAGGATTTGTTTTCTTCGGCAAAAGGAAACTGATAAGGTTAATAACATGTTTCTGAGAAGAAGATAAAAAACAAACGATGTAAGGAAGGACAATTGTAAAAAAACTCAAATTAAAGCTTTCATAATGAGTGAGGATTGAATGTCGCTGGACATTAACTAGAAATATTTTATTTCAATATAATAATAAAAGAACCTTTGGCATTTATCATATTATACTTGATCATGAACGAAAATAACTACACAACGAATAAGAATGAATCTACAGATGAATTCTAACGATTTTGTTAACTAAAAAACTCATAAAACGCAACGTTGTGAATTACCAATAGCCATGACGGCAAGAGCAATGATACTGTCTGACAGACATTCACAAATGCTAATAACTTTTTCATACACCAAGTAAAGTTTACCAATTGCTTAATGTAATGTAAGAAATATCTTTTACACATTTAAATGTTCACACTAATTAATAAGCCAGTGAAATATGGTCTTGATTTTATGAACAAAATTAAATGGACATGTATACTTTACAATCATACTATTATCCACAAAATACCATTGGTCTTCTACTACTAGTATTTGAAGTAATGATCTAATAGATTTAAATAAAAGATGAATAAATTATCAATAAGAGTGAGTTCAAGGTCAAATGAACCTATAATATGTACAATTACACATCATGATTTTACTCACCAAGTGCAGCAGACATATTCCTGATTAATTATCGAGAAAACGGAATAAATCAAGAAAATTGAACATAGATGAACATTCTAAGAAAACAAAACCAATCTCCGATTACCTCTGTAAGGTCGATATGAACATCTTATATACTGTTTGTATAGTAATTGAGAAAATGACATTATCACTAAAACGTTAGTGTTGATCATTTAAAAGAAAAGCAAATGTCAGATGAATATTGAAAGACTTACAGCTACAGATACAGCTTACTATACGGTACGGCCTTTGCTAATTTTTGAAAGCCCAACATTGCTGTGTAGTTGTTTATATATCCATATCATTTGGCCTTTGATGAAAGCTGTCTCATTGACAATTATACATCTCCTTTTTTATTTCCATACACCACATATAGTAACAACATTAACGATACCATTTTTTTTCTGCATCATATGAGCATTTACATTTTACGAAGAGAACGTTAACGTGATGTTGATTACTGAAACATAATTGAGTCAAGGTTTGGTGAACAGTTTTGTCTGAAATTTGTACCTGACAATTATTTAGTATACCAAATGAATCATAATATATGAAAGAAAAACCCGATCTAGATGTTTGGGAAGTTGTTAGATCGTGAAAATGAGATAGAGACTAAAACAAAACAAAAAGAAAAAGGTAATTCGAAATTACATTTGTTTACAAGATGTGATCTAAGGAGGAGTGATTTGATTTATAACAGAGGATCCCATAACATGAAAAAAGAATACTGTAATGAAATTAAGATGGTTCTCCATACATGTATATACAGCCAGGGGTTACTAGCTCAAAAACTGTTTTGACATGATCATTTACATATGGTCTTCTTCCGTGTACACGATAGACCTTCTCACAGTAGTGAACAGTCATGCTAAGTTTTACCCCTGAATTCAAAAGGGTTTAAAGTTTCAGAGAAGAAACGGTTTTGAGCTTTTGCAAAGGAGTTGAACTGTTTGTGACCATGGCTTTAAATTTTAAATTCTGTAGACGATATAACTTCTAAAAGTGGTTTATAATCATTATGAAAATTAAAAGATGTAGTATAATTAAAATGAGACAACTATCGACAAGAGACACAATGACGTAGATGTAAGAAATTACGGGTCACCGTACGGCCGTCAACAATTAGCAAAGTCAATATTGCTAATAAAAGTAACCTATAATAAGACTAAGCATGACCAAATGTAAATTAATATAAACGATAATACCATTGGCATAATCAATGTAAAACACAATAAAGGAAAAAGAAAATGATAGACACTGACAAACGGCAACCATTAAATAACATGAATAACAGACTCAAACTCCAATTAGTATTTGAAATAAGTTGAAATGATTGTTCGATTAGTTCAACTAAGTTACTGACCATAAATATCAGTCTACAGTTTTCTTACATGTACACAACACACTTTATGTGAGTGATGAACAACTGTTTTAAGAATCATGACTGAACTTTAAGAGGTTGTAAAATTAGAGAGCGTATAACATCTGTGACGAACAAAGACACAGACGTACAAGCATATTAAGATAAGTCCTCCAAAGATAAATGAGCGCGGCCCTTATTACCAATTCAATTTTCTTTGTGAAAAAAAAACTCTTTATACTTTAATTCATGCCAGACGTCGTCTCTGCAGTAGTCTGTATATGATTCTCGTGTCTAACATTTCCTACATTTGAAGAAGGCGAGAAAATACATGATACATGTTTCCGAATGCAGGAAACCTGAAACAAGTGTATCTTCAATACTATTTGATATAGTATTTCAAGACAAAAAGGTTTCAGAACCAAACTAATGTGGCGTTTGAAAAGAAACAGTAAACTTAATGTTGCATCAAATTTGCCTCTGCGAATTGTAACTTTACAAAACATATTTTTTAGTTTAACATTGGTGGTAATCGTTCAAACATAAAAGATCTTGTGCATTGCATTGACATGATCGATTTTGTGTGTGTTCTTTTTGATGTTTTGTTTTGTATTGGTCCTTTTGAGTCTAACGTTTTCTACCTATGTTTTACAATTTGTCCATATTGTTCAAATGTTTTATTTGAATAATGGCATTCCTAGTTTACATATTTATGGGGGTGAAATGATAAGATACACAGCAACATCTGAAATGATTGCAGGCGTAACATAAACTAGATGTGTGGCAGTATACCAGGTTCAATGGGCGATTGAAATCCCCATTTGAGAATAGCCCATAGTTTACATGACTGACTGAAACTCAGATGACTGTCATACTTCAAGTGGATGATTTATAGCAATAAGTCGATGAGTCTAGCACTGGGGAGATACCTCAGCTGGTGGACAACTAGTCCCATACTGTATAATCGGTTCAGAAGTCAGGAATTTCGTGCTGACATGATGTAAAACATGCTATTTCTGTCGTATATATACTTTATTTATATGGGACAAGGGTAAACTATTAGAGTTTTCTCAATAAAACTTGTTATGTTAACATATGTAGTATTAAATGAATGATTGCGATTACAAAATGTGTATGCCATACTGCTTCTCTCCTTTATTTTTAAAGTGTAAAAAACATTTAGAAATAAATTTTTAACATGTATTTTTTTTATCCAATTCTTCAGCACACAAGAAGTATTATTATTACAAAGGTTGTTAAAGTTTTATGTAAGAAAAATAATGGTTACTTATAAACGTTAGTCTTAAATATCTTTTGATAGGTTTGTTTATAAACAGTTTTGATTGATTGGAGCAGAGTAACTCTCTAAGTAATCCATCGCATTAGTATTTAATGACATATACGGGTTTAAATATTCATCTTGCTGAGTGCTGGTTCCATCATTTCCAGCTGAAGAATGAGTGCTGTTCGATGAGAACGAAGAATTCCTGGATTCAAAAAGAATTCTAAACGACTCCGCTAAATCTTCTGTGTCGTTTGATGTACATCTTGTATATGGTAGGATTCCTGCTTCCTGGGTTCGATCTGTTGGGAAAATTGTTTCATAATCCCGAAGTTGTGTTTCTGAAAGGTTTGTTAAAGTTGAATGACAACTAGGTATACTACCATGTACACGTTTCTCCTGCTGTTGATAACAAGTATCATCAATCACATCCAAGTAAGGACCTACTTGTAAAGCGAAGGTCTGATCTTCCGTTTTTGAATTTGTGGAAGCTTTTGAATCATGATCTACGGAAAGGGAACATCCGTTTCTTATCATTTGCCTCTCATCAATAGATTCGTATTCGGAGGAGCAAATTTCATATATAACCTCCTCGTCAATCTCAAGTTCTTGCTCTCTTTCATTAGTACCATTATTGTGCATTTGGTTTTCATTCTTTTGTGGAAACATCTTCCCTTTACTGTTACGATTAATACATATATTGCTTCCTACTGATAGACTTAATATAACTATAAGACCAACTGCAAGTAACATGTAATATAAATGGTCGCGTAAAAACTCTGAAAAAGAATAATTAATGCCACAAAAACCATTAATACGATAATAAACTTACATATATCAATTTGAATTTTCCCTTCAGACCTTAACTTAAATCAATAAAACAAAAATGTACAAGGTCAAGTACAATTGATATGTTTATTAAAATTTTCAACAATTATAACAACAATTATATATTCATATATCATTCCCGACTTTATAACTATTTGTAATAATAATGCCCACTATATGTAAAAATACTCTAAGACTATGTATTGGGATACATACAGAATAAAATAAAAACTGTTGTAGGATGCATATATGCGACAAATCGAAAATGCTATACAAAAGGAAAGAACACATTATTTTGAGTATGGACCGACTAGTCTTTGTTCACCTCCTAATCCTTATACGTACGGAAAAGCATCATATTCCAATTTTCAAGTTTTCGGTTAAAACTGCTTGGGACGGAAACTTTGAGCTCTCACACTCTCATCCCAGGAATAGATTACCTTAGCCGTATTTGGCACAATTTTTTTGGAATTTTGGGTCCTCAATGCTCTTCAACTTTGTACTTGTTTGGCTTTTTAACTATTTTGATCTGAGCGTCACTGATGAGTCTTATGTAGACGAAACGCGCGTCTGGCGTATTAAATTATAATCCTGGTACCTTTGATAACTGTTCAAATATAAAATTCCAATAGCAAGTGATCTTTGACCTTAATAATGTCAGATTTTAATACAAGTGTAATGTATTGAATTGTTTTACCAATGCATGCTATAAAATAGGCAGCTCTAGCCAATTAAAAAAACAAGCGAAAGAAAGAAAAAAAAAACAATGATATCACGCATCTTAGTTATATTCACAAGGTTTGAATAAATTTGAATATCCTTACATAATTACTGAGGGTTACTTGGATTTTTTTTGGATAATTGTAGTATTAAATTATTAAAAGATGTCATTTGTAAATTCATGTCATGTTTGTCTTATGTCCATTTATTGGCAGGGTCTGAATAAAGTATACATCCATTGACCTTATATTATTTACACAACAAGACTTTATTTGGTGATAAGATAATTCAGCCAATCAGAATTGAGCTTGCATTCTACTTTGGTTTGCTGTTTTACCAAATGGCAGGAACTCATTCAGATTTGAACTTGAATATTTTAAAAATGCCGAGTTGGATGAAAGACTTGCAAGTTTCAATGGAGAATTCACAAAAAGAGTATGATAATGTTATTAATATGTCTGTTTACTATTTCTGTATTATTTGCAATTAATAAAAATGTACCACAGCGGCTTGGGAGATAGCCTTTATTGAACGTAACAGCAAATGGAAATATAAATGAAATAAACAAATTTTGTATATTGAACGATCAACCTTGAAAGGAAAGTTAAAGGTTTTGAATAATATAAAACTATCATGATTACAATAAAACAAGTGTAACCTTCATAAATTATGTAATTTGTATCCTCGTACTTTCATTGGGTCAACAAAAACATGTATTGACTAATACATGCAATATGAAAAGGCTGTGATTATACAGATATTATTTCTTAAAATCACTTGGGTAATAATTGAATTACTTGCATATTATTTGGTTATTACTTTGAATTACTTACATGCACTTGTCATGGGTAATTATTTTGAATTACTTGCAACATTTCTTGTTATTTACTATGCATACTTATGAAAATACATGCAATTACCTATAGTTAATATTCAAATATTATTTGCATTTACTATTAATTAACAAACAAGATTATTTGGAATTACTTAAATAATATTAGTTATGGATTAATAATAAATTATTTATTTAACGATTTCTATAAATTGACAACTCAAAATTTATGAAATTGATTACTTTAAATTAACATGAATAACTAGGAAATAAATAACTACTGTCATTACTAATAATTACTACCCACGACTTCGTTCCAATAATTTAATAACTTTTTTTTAGAAATTCAAAGTACTTGTTTAATTAAGGAATGGCTGTTCTATTTTTCTATGAAGAAATATTATAAAAAATGTGATGCACACAGAATAATCCGCGTAACAGGTTATTTAAAAGTGTTTGAGGTTATTTTGAATAGACAGAAAAAATATAATATTACATTGATTGCTTATAATTTAATTCTAAATTCCGTTTTAAGCAATAAATCCTGAAAAAACGGTGTTGACGTCACAGTTACATGATAAAACTATGTCTATGAGCTAATAGACAAAACACTATCACACAATCAGAAGACGTGTTACATCCAGAATTAAATTATTCATGTTTAGCTTGTTTAATATGATATTTGATCTTGTAATAGGTAATTGTACCTGTTGTATGTGTTGCGTCATTTCTGTTTCCTTCTCTTTGGTTTGTATCCTTAGTTTCTGAAGGTAAAAATACGAACTGTTTTTTTAAATTCTGATTAATAGTTAGTTGTTTTTAGAACACATGCATTTATTATTAACGTTCATGAAATGAAATGATATAAAAAATACAAAATAGACTCATCTAACATCTCGGGCAGATACAGCCAATAGAGAGCCTCTGCATTGGAATGTTGAGGTGTTAAAAAGGAACATACTAAAAAGGGACACTCGAAATATAAGTCGAAGAAAAACTGACGCCATGGCAAAAAAACGAAAAACGACTAAAAGAATAACAACAGTATACAAAAAACAACTTAGAAAACTAAATACTGAGCAGGAGGAAACCAACCTAACACCGGAGATTATGCTTACTGCGGAAAGACTGCTCATTGTCGCCAAAGAACATAAATGTAAGGAAGACAATTATAAACAATCTTACAGAACCGATATCATCTAATTTAGATAAACATGATAAAAGCCACAGCTCTCAAATTCTATGATAATAATGATAGCAAACAACGGAAACAAAACCATAAGCTTTCAAGAAGTACCATATGGCAAAATTCTATGTAATTTATTCATATGACTTGCGCCACGAGACTTTGGTCCTTTTAATTAAATTACCTCCCTTAGTTGTAGGTTAGAACTATAAATTATGTTACATTTGCGAATAATCCAGTCTTTTTTCCTTCTTTACAAATATGTATTGTAATTCTAAGGACAAATGCCAAACGACTATTAACGAAATGGGAAGGATTAAATCATCATGCTTATAAAAGAATTATAGGAGCTGGTGAGATAAAAGTTATTTAACCTTAAAATACAAACGGCAATTTGTTTTCCTATATGCGGACAAATCATGAAGAATCTCTTCTTGTATCTTGATTTCTAATTTGACTCTAGCTGCTTGAAGATTTTTTGTTATTTTCTATAGCAAACTTACTACGGTTACGTTTCCGATTTCAAACTGAAAAGGTAAAGAATATGCCACTTTGAAAATTCTTCACCTTCATTGTGATAATTTAGTTTGCTCGTTATTTTTGCTGATTACAGTTTCTCAATACATATTTAGTTTTTTGTTCGAAATAACCATCCGTTAAGGTTTATAACTTATGTAAGGAGTTCACTGACAATTTAGACAATTTCACACATTTGTGGATTTTGTTATTGGTCATGCTTATGTATTCAATTGTTTTCAATGGCAAAAGCGTTAGGCCAATATATATTCAAACGAGGCAATTGACAATTTCAGTTATGTTTGTATGACATTTTTGATGATCATTTTAAATTTATAGTTTGACAGTTTGATTTAGAAGAAAAATCATGGTTACACCATTAATAACACAATTCTATATTAATATTCTTGTAATGGTTAGAAAATACATCAAATAACACCATTACAAATTTAATCCCAATTTCATATTGTATTTTTTAAAATTTACCTGTGACGTCACTTTTTGTTACGTTGATATATTCGTGTGACGCACAGTTCATTATTCTATTGTGCTGTATTTGTGTTCTGTCGTAAATTAATTTTAGGTGTTCGTTGTTATTCTGTGGTTTACATGTTTAAATGGACTATTATATTATTTATTTATGTATGTCTCTGTCCTGCATGTTCTTACATTTATTTGTACTTTATTCCTGTCACGTAATGTTGTCATTTTAGCGGTATTTTTAACATTGCTATATAAGCGGGGGGTTTGGCTAGCCATGAAACCAGGTTCAACCCACCATTGAGTCTTAAAATGTCATGTACCAAGTCAGGAATATGGCAATTATTATCACATAGTCCGTTTTTATGTATGTTGGCGTTTGTTTTTGTAGCAGTTCAGTGTTTCTGTTGTTCCGTTTTGTTTCCTCTTATAGTTGATGCATTTCCCTCAGTTTTGGTTTGTGACCCGGATTTGTTTCAGTTAAATCGATTTATGACTATTGAACAGCGGTATACTACTATTGACTATAACTCGACCGGCACTAAAAAATCGAAGACAAATTTCGGTTATGTAGATTTTAATGGATTTCAATGAACGTAATCTATGTATTACTGTTTTTTTTTATTAAGTCAAGGATTTCGCAACCACACATTACTAAAAACCCTTACCAAATTCTTCCATAGATACAAAGATTTGGTTTGGAAGTTTGGTTGTATCTGTAGAAAACTTATTTCAAACAGGATAGCACATCCTTATTTTCACAGAGATGTTGTTTACAGAGCCAAGAAATGTAGATACGATCCGGTTAAACTTATCGATCCTTTAAATAAACTTATTCTAAAAGGTTACCAATATAACACTGTAATTCGATCTTTGAATATTGTTTTATTGGTATTAATATTGATTTTCATATCAGTAATTCAAAATCAAACTAAATATCATTTTATAGCTGACTATGCGGTATGGGGTTTGCTCATAGTTGAAGGCCCTACGGGGACCTCTAGTTGTTAACTTCTAAGTCATTTGGTATCTGGTGGAGAGTTGTCTCATTTGGATTTGTACCACATGTTCCTATTTATATTTTACTTGTAGATCTAGTCTTGCTGATCATTTATACTGTTAACAGTTTGTATATATATGATATTTTTCAAGATTTAGCAAAAACCGCGAAGTTTTGCAGGTGCCAAAAAAAAAAAAAAAAAAATGAAAGACACCCTTTGTTATATATGCAGATACCTGGCTTTTGAGTTTGATTATTTTCCTGGTTTAAGAGTGATTTTGAAAACGTTTAGGACCACGAACGACGAAAAC